TGCTGCCTTGTCCCCAGATTTCCTTTTTTAAATAGTTGTTTAATGTGTGTCCCCTTATGGAGTAAGTAGATGCACACTGTCTGTGATGGATGGACACTGAAAATGTTTTCAACAGCTCTATTACAGCTCACACCTAGGATGGTTTACTGGGTGTACCATGCATGATGGCCACAGGTCACATTGACAAGTAGTTCCAAACAATGTTTCTGAGAAGTGGCGATGCCTAAAGCTGTTTCCAAAAGGTGCCCTGGACTTCTTCCCCATGCCACATCACATCCCAGGTGCACATGGAAGACCCCAAAGGCCATTTTTGAAAAAGAAAAACAAGAGCTGGGCAATGGTGGCGCACACCTTTAATCCCAGCACTCAGGAGACAGAGGCAGGTGGATCTCTGTGAGTTCAAGGCCAGACTGGTCTACAAGAGCTAGTTCCTGGACAGGCTCCAAAACTACAGAGAAATCTTGTCTTCAAAAACAACAAACAAACAAGCAAAGCCCTGTTTCTCCGTAAGGGAAGGGATGCAGAAGGCTGCGGGGCCTTTCCCACATTGCCAGTGTTCCAGTGTTCTGTACAGCGACTCCCCAGCAGTAGCGTGTGTGGCACAGCTCTTGATGAGAGCCTCACCCTTTGCACCCTTGTGTCGGTGCACTGTCCTCTCCATTCAAGGGCTGTCAATTTCTCATTTAGTGAGGGCTGTGAGTCTTGAACGAGGAGACGTTGGAAGCATACCGAAAGAGTTGAGAAAATTCTAGATTCTCTTGGTGCTGCTGGTGATGATCTCAACACACTCAGGGTTCGGTCAGTCCTGGTGAACCTCTGGCAGAACGGGGGCCTCTAGTCCTGCCATGGCCTCTGCCTGAGAAGGAAGGCTGGAAGTTTCTCTCTCCCTTTTCTGCTTGCCAGATTTTGGGGAAACTTCATTACTTGGCAAATACCTCGGTTTCTAAGTAACATCAGCTTTTGGAGAGGTGGATCACGTTATTTCTGTTTTGCTAGGATGTGTCTTATTGATCATCTCTTGAAGAAGAACTTAAACAATCAAAGTCAGCAGGTATGGTAGGTAGCACACACCTGCAATCCCAGTGCCGGGGCAGGAAGCCTGCTCTGAGGTCAGCTTGGGCTACACAGAGAGCCCCTGTTTGAGAAAACCAAATATGAAATAAAAGCCAGTTGCTTTTGTTTGTTCATTTTCGTTTTTGAAACAGGGTTTCTCTGTGTAGACAAGGCTGGCCTCAAATTCACAGATCCTCCTGCTTCTGTCTCCTGGATGCTGGACTTAAAGTGTGTGCCACCGCTGCCCGTCTAAGACCAGGTGCTCACAGAACAACCTGTGGGAGTTGGTGCTCTCTCTCCACCACATGGGTCCTGGGGAATGAACTCAGGTCACCAGACTTGGCAGCAAGTGCCTCTGCCCCCAGAGTCACCCATTGGTCCTCAATGAGTTTCTTTTCTGACCCCTGTGTGTGCTGTCATTGTCACTGAAGTTTTTATTTTGTTTTGTTGTTTGGTTTTTCGAGACACTGTTTCTCTGTGTAGCACTAGCTGTCCTGGAACTCGCTCGGTAGACCAGGCTGGCCTCGAACTCAGAGATCCACCTGCTTCTGCCTCCCGAGAGCTGGGATTAAAGGTGTGCTCCACCAATGCCTGACTGTCACTGAAGTTTTTGAGAGAAGCATGGTTGTTCTTCTCCATATTCAGAATTTATTCTGGACTCATGAAGCCCAGTGCTTCTAGCAGCTGTTGTCAAGCTGCCTTCAGTGTCTGAAGAATGGGAGGAATATGTGTTGATGAGCTCATCCCTCAACCGCTTTCTCATTAGTTCATGCAACAAATATTTACTGAGTGCCTACTCTGGGTCAGATAGCTCCAGCCTAGATAAGACAATGATCCTTGCCATTATAGCTTTCCTCTCTGTGGCATGTGTGCCTGGAGACACAGAGGACAGACAAAATTAAATGACCGTATTATTTAGTATGTTGGGTGATAAATGCCATGGGGTCAGAAGAAGCAGATCAAGGGAGATTGGGAGTAGGGGAAACGCTGCAGTTTAAGTAGAATAGTCAGAGAAGGCCTTTAGTGAGAGTATGGGATTCAAACCGAGACTTCAAAGAACACAAGATACTCAACATAGTATTTTATCTGTGGAAAATCACCAAGAGCTAATTTTTTGAAGGTCTTCACTTTTTTTTTAATTCTTATGTTCGGCTTCCATGTATTCCTATAGGCCAGAAGAGGGCACCAGCTCTCATTACAGATGGTTGTGAACCACCATGTGGTTGCTGGGAATTGAACTCAGGACCTTTGGAAGAGCAGGCTGTGCTCTTAACCACTGAGCCTTCATCTCTCCAGCCCGGTAGAGTCTTGAAGAATCCATTCAAGGTCGCTTAGTCCAACTTGATGAAGCCGATGTCCTTCACGTACTGCCGGAAACACTGGCGGCACATGTCCAGCCCGTATTACGGGATCAGACAGTGGCTGTTTGAGCAGACGTGGCAGGAGCGGGATCCCTGGCCGAACTTCTGCGGGTGACTCCAGTAGAGCTGCTAGTGACCCATGTTGCCTCACTGATGGCCGATGAGCCAAAAGGCAAGAGCTGATTTTTTAGAAGAGATTTATTTTAATGTGTATGGGTGTTTAGCCTGCATGTATATCTGTGCATACAACACATGCACGTAGTGTCCTTAGAACCAGAAGAGGGTGTTGGATTTCCCTACAGAGGGTGGTGAGCCAACATGTGGGTGCTAGGAACCAAACTTGGGTCTTCTGCAAGAAAACAAGTGCTTTTAACCACTGAGCCATCTCCAGCCACTATGGACTGAATTAAAAGATTTTGAAAATCATTTCTCTGTCTCTGTCTCTGTCTCTGTCTCTCTCTCTCTCTCTCTCTCTCTCTCTCTCTCTGTGTGTGTGTGTGTGTGTGTGTGTGTGTGTGTGTGTGTAAAAAATGTACGCCCCATATGAACAGAAGAGAGGGCCAGATCCCCAGAAGCTGGAGTTACAGGCGATTGTGAGCTGCCTAACATGGTTGCTGGGAACTGAACCTGGCTCCTCTCTTAACCATCTTTCCTGCCTCACGACTCCATTTTGTTTGTTTGAGAAAGGGTCTCACTATGTAGCTTGGCTCACCTGAAACACACTCCGGACCAGGCTGACTTTGAACTCATAACTCTACCTGACTCCATTCCACAGTGCTGGGATTAAAGGAGGGCACTACCACATCAAGCACGCAAAGACTTAATTAAATTTTAACAGCTGTATTGAGATGTAATTCATACACTATAAAATTCACCCCGTGAAAAGGTACAATTTGATGGGTTTCAGATATTTACAAAGCATATAATCATTATCTAATTCCAGAATATTTTCATTACCCTTAAGAGAAATTCATTAGCAGTCATACTATCCAATCCTACTTCCAGCTCAGCGTCTGGCAACCACTAACCTTTCCATCGCTCTAGATGCGTGGTATTTCATTCAGATCAAACACTATATGCTCCGTTTATAGTATACTTTTATGCTTCATTCATTCAATATTCAATATTTTGTTTCTTGGTACGATCCCATTGTAGCCTTAATTTTGTCATTTAAAATACAATCGAAGATTGAAACTTTACCATGTTAAAAAAAAAAAAAGATTCCATTGTCCGGATAAACCATATTTGCTTATTCATTTTCACCAGTTGATGATGACCTCATACTTTTAAGAATTACGATGTCGTGCATGGGCTGTAGTAATTGTCCTCTCCTTAAAGACTGGGTTGTGCCTTGGTGGGTGAAGTCAGAATCCTTGGTATTGACAGTGCTCCCATGTACTGATGAATTTGGCTCGGGGAAACTAACGACTCTCTTGCTTTGTCAGGTGCCTTCTGTGCCAAAGCGTTGGGTGGTCCAAATATAGTAACACAGTTCTAGGAGTTTCTTTTCAATTGTATTTTCTATTCCACACTCTGGCAAAACATTCCTTTTTAGTTTAAGCTGTAATTTCGTTGAGTTGATTACTCAAGGAAACCCTCAATGACTTTTCTTTTTGTCTTAATATTTTGGGTGCGGTAGCAAGTAGAAGCAGATCACCCTAACCAAATATTTAAACAAAGCCATTCAGGTCAGGGAGGGAAGATGGACTGAGGAAGCAGAAATTAAATGTGGCTTTTAAAGGAGGGTTTTGATTCTCATAGACTTGTTGAGGAAGGAAAATGCCTGTTCCAAAAAAGCAAAGGGAATTAAAAGTTTATCTTTTGGGTGACTGGGAACGTCTGTGCTCGGAGCACGTGTCTTTGGTATGTTTGGCAGCCAGCAGTTTGTGCATTAAGCGTGTTGGACTCTTCCGCCCTTCTGCACATGGTGAGATTCAAACGTTTCACAACTTCTGAAGCGGGGGTTAGAGATGATCTCCAGGGCTGCAGAAAGATGAACTCCATTGAAATCCAGATAACTTCTTCGAGTTCTCTGCCACCTGTCCTCACTCTTTTAGTTGAGGGTAACTTTCAAAGCGACACCCACGCAAGAACTGGACATGTCCCGGCGGGTTGCAAACTGCCCCTGACGGCCGCAGGGGCCTTTCGCGGTCCATGGAGGTGGGGGCGAGCACGGAGTGCGGATGGCTGGCTTGCATCGCCGGAACTGTGGATGAAGCATCCTTCCACGCCCCAATGGCTCTAACTCCCGCGTCAGAGCAGGACGCGCCGAACGGGCGGATAAGCCGGGAACAGGTTGAGATCCTTATTCTCGGTCATTTCAGCAACTGCCAGGAGAAATGTCTGCCGCGGAGGGCGGAGCACAGATGAGGGGGAGGAGCGAGGAGGAAGGGGCGTGACCGAAAAGACGGCCAGGGCGGAGCAAGGGCGAAGGGGCGTGGCCCATGCAGAGAGTCGGGGAGGGACTCAGCCGATGGGACGGGGAGGGCGGGGCCTCGGGGCTCCGCCTCTCGCCGCAGGCGCGCCCGCCCCGCCTACCGGCTCCCCTCAGAGGTGGCTGCGGCCGAGCGCGGGGAGGGAGGGGAGAGCGGGTCACGACGCTGCGGGGGCGGGGATAACCCCTCACGTGGAGCAGATGAAAGGGCCGCGGCGCGACGGCCCGGGGAGCGGAGCAGAGCCTGCGACCCACAAAGCCGCCGCTGCTGCCGCGATGGTGCTGTGAGGCGACCGCCCGCGCTCGGTCCTCCGCCGGCCCGCGACTATGCCCGGCCGCGCCCGCCCTCCGCGCCCTCCCGCCGCAGGACCATGAGGCCACGCTCGGGCGGGCGCCCAGGGGCCCCGGGCCGCCGCCGCCGTCGCCTCCGCCGCGGCCCCCGCGGTCGTCGCCTGCCGCCGCCGCCTCCGCTGCCGCTGCTTCTCGGACTGCTGCTGGCGGCCGCGGGGCCCGGCGCAGCGCGGGCCAAGGAGACGGCGTTCGTGGAGGTGGTGCTGTTCGAGTCGAGCCCGAGCGGCGACTACACCACCCACACCACCGGCCTCACGGGCCGCTTCTCGCGGGCCGGGGCCATGCTCAGCGCCGAGGGCGAGATCGTGCAGGTAGCCGCTCGGGCCCCGTGCTCCGCCGCCACAAGATGGCTCCGGGGGCTGCTCCCGCCGACCCCGCCGCGGGCTAGCGGGCGGGCGGGCCGGGGGGAGGCGCGGAGCCCGGCGGCATCCCTCGCGGGCGGGCTGGCGAGCGGGACGCGGCCTCCGGGGCACTGCGGCTGGGGCTAGCGCACGTGGGGGCTCGGCCTCCGGTGGGGGCACCGCGCCGGAGTGGGGGTGGGGACTCTGGGCTGGGCATGGGCGCCGGGGCGGCAACTCTGGAGTTGGCGGGACGGTTTTCTCCCTCAGGTGAAAGTCCCGGCAACTACCTGTTGAATGCCAACTTTGCAAAGGCGAGTTGAAGGATGGAGCGGCTGCTTAGGGTCGCGGGCGTTGCTTTCTAGCCATGCTGACTCTGTTTTCGGAGAGGCCAGGTTGCCGGGGCGCACCTCCTCGGGTGGTTTTTCTCCCCCCCCGCTGGGATCTACTGCCCGTCTTACCTGGACGCGGACTCTCTGGCCGGGCTCTGGACAGGCACCAGCAGGAAGGGGAGCAGGCGGAGTTGGCTGGCGAGTGGGCATTGGGGGTGCACTGTAGTGGCGGTGGAAGGCAGCCTTCGCTGCGTGCTTCAGATTACAGGGGGATGAGAGAGACCGCAAGCTCGCCCCTGGGTCAAGGACTAATACCGAAAAGGCCTGCAAAGCCAGGGTTGCTCACTGACAGGGCCTCCACCTTACTCCAAAATGCAAGAGGTCTGCGTTCCAAAGGAAGCTGGCTATGGAGAGCTTTGAGCTGTCCCCAGTCTTTGAGGAGCGACTCTCAACTGAAGCCTCTGCGGATGGATAGCTGCATAGATTTCCCGCTTCCTTGACCATGATTTTTATCAACTTGTTCTAGGGCCAGCGCACTTGTGGACTGTTAGCAGGCGCACCTCTAGTGAGGGCGATTTGAATACCGTTGGCTTGTCTTTTAATTTCGGGGGGGCTATAAAGGCCTATAGTTTGGATCTTTGGTGCGTTGTTCTTGGGTGAATTATGAAGAGAAAAGGGACTGTGTGGAATGACTGACTACATAGCAGCTTTGAGTGTAGACAGCATAATTTCCTTGCCTCTCCCTGCTGCTGCTTCAGAGCTCTGAGTTGATAGGACATAGGCCAATACAGTGTGGCTCCTTAAAGTGTCTGTCCTTCCAAAGCTAAAGGAGGTCCCTATGCCTGTACTTAAAAACATTGTTGCGCTGTGCTCTGTTCCCATCTACAGGAAACGAAACACGCTTGACCGATTTCTGTGACTACAGATGTTGCTAAATGTGATGGGATTTCTTTTTTTTTCCTTATAATGTTATTGTTACTGTCATTAACGTACAAGCTTTAGAGAGGATGCTTTGCTGAAGATTCCTAAACATTGCTGTTGCAGGCTTTGAGAATAGTTTGAATCTTAAATCTTGCTTCTTGTGACTCTTGTCTTTCTTTGAGGCTTTCACTATGCCCTGGTGGCTTTAGAAATGTTTGATTTACGCCTGAGGGGGAGGTGGCAGCTGAGGGGGAGTATATTTTAATGTGGCACTTCACTTTTTGAAGGAGACTTTTGAAGTTTCAGATTTTTATCTGCAGTGTTTAAACTTGAGCCATTCTCCATGGCAGTTTGTCTGGTGAGCTATCCATTATGCATAGTGCTGTGCTTTGCAGATATTCTTGGGTGCACCATTTAATACAAAATTAGCTGTTTAAACACACCATTTGTAACTATTTTATCCTGCCTAGTAGAGAGATAATGTATGAATTTGGCAGGACTCTGGTCTCTTGAAGTTTTTGAAGTACTTATCTAACTCTTTTGTAGTCTATTAGACTAGCACCTCCCAAATTAAGTCAACAATTGCTAAGGGAAAAAAAATGGCTTAAATGGTATTTAATAATAAAGTTTACTTGTTAACCAATCACTGATGGTGTTCTTAATTCCCTTATACTGCAGTAATATTGATGTGCATATCTGAGCTCTCTGAATAGTTAGTGCTTGGTACACTCTATAGATTTAATAACTTTCTTGTGCTCATCAACGTGTTGAGCTCTGTGTCCACAGACGAGCACAGTGTGGCTTTCAGAGAGCTCTCTGTGTGTACACAGACTGGCATGCTTTTATCTTGTGAATACTGCCAGACTGAATGAACTGTTGTAGCTCCTGCGTACCACCCTGAAATAAGTTTTGTACAGAAAGTCAGGTTTTAGGACTGCTGAGAGGGACTATAACAAGAGAGTGTGTAGTAAGAGCGTGGAAGTGAAGACAGTGTTTAATTTCAGATTAATCATGTTTCCTAAGTACTCATTCAACTTTGGTTTTACCACCTAAAAAACTTCATGATTTGCCCTCTAGTGTGTCATAGTCTTTGTTCATTTCAATGCATATTGCATTGTTTTGGTTATTTCCAGTGTGATTCTCTAGCAATTTTGTTTTTAATTGGGAAGGGTGGGGGGGCTGTTTCAAAGTTTCTCTTTAAAAATTCTAAGATAAGGAGTGTTTTGTGGTACTGATTTTGTTTTTCAATTTACCAGTGAAAGTGTGTGAATGAGTGTGTGTGTGTTTGTGTGTATACGTGTGTACACAGTAGATACCTTGTCATAGCCTGGCCATCCCAGAGACTTCTAGTTAGGATACCTGTTCAGTCTTTTGCATAAATTAGGATGGGAGAAAGCCTGGATGTATGTGCTTTTGTAGGAGTAGGGTGAGTAATTCGGATGAATGTGTTGGGACGAATGTATTAGGCATAAATAATTATCCCAAGGTCATTAGTCTGTATGAAGGGCTGTTTGTGTGTGTTTGATTTTTTTTTCCTATTTTGTTATCTCCTGCTGTGAACAGGATATTTGGGTGTGAAATTAATTGCTTTTATTATCTTGCCGCTTTGCATCTAAGTGGACCGATCGTAGATCTAATCGCTATAAGAATTACACTTTAACTGTGCTTCTGAGTTGTGGACCTTTAAAGAGCTTTTAGACATACTGGTACGTATTTCATCTTTAAACCAATGTGCTGCTGTTAATGAAATTATTATCTGAAACTTTTATACATGGCTGTGCAGTCCATGTGGTTGGTGTTGTTAAATAGGGGCTTGATTAAACACTGGCTAGTGGTATGTGGATTGGCTGAATAAACATGAAAATTTGCATTATTAGAAATAAAAGATTGTTTTAAAGTGGAAATGCCTATTTCTCCCATTGAAGTCAAATATTAAAATATTGAGAAATTAATTTGTAGAAGGAATTAGAATGATTGGTTCTGTGCAACTTTCACATCAGTTATTCCAGATCCCAAGTTAAATGTCTGATGGACTTGAAGCTAAGAACATGAAGAACTAAGGAAGTTCTTTTAGCTGTTAAGAGTGAAAGGAGAGCTGCATGGTGATTAGATAGTCTAGGTAACTAAAGGTATCACAGGGAATAATTGTAGGAGGCTAATTCCTCTGCCTTGTTTCCCTGTCAGTGTGTTTTTACAGTTCAGCATTTGATCAAGCACTTTCTTTTCATCTCCATTTGAGGTTAACTTAATAGGCCTGCCTCCAAAAATTGACTTGGTCTAATAGAACAATTGCATGCTGACAGCTGACTTGGATTTACGCAGAAAAGGGCTGCCGACCATTTTGTCAGATGGTCCTTTATAGGTTAAAAGCAAGCATTTCATTGTTGGGGGGCGGGTTTAGTAAATTCCTACGATCTCTTCTCTGGTTTTATACCCTGAGATCTCCTGGCAATTCCCAGTAATTCTGACTGGGGATGGGAGTGCGGAAGAAGCAGTCTTAGCTCCATTGATGAGCCTTATTTTGTGTGTTCAAGGTACTGTGCCAAGCACATTATGCTTGTTCATTTTATTTTTCATTCATATAGAATTAGACACTGTGTTTACTCGGTTTTACAGAGGAAGAAACTGAGGCCAAGAGAGACAGGTTTGTTTCTCTAATGTGACAGCTAGCAAAACCTGAATTGAAACCATGACCTGTTCTTTGTCTTGTCAAATAGCTAACACTGGGTTTGTAAGGATTTTGACATTTAATACAAACCTACTTCCCATAATTTGCTATTGGAGTTCTTTCAGGCCTGTGATCCCCTGAAATTATGCATATATTCTTGTGAATGGATGTGTTTATTTTCCTGATAGCTTCCCAAGAAGGAAAGGGAAACTCTCCTCTAGTACTTGTCTGTGACTAAAAATTTGAGTGGAGGGCTTGAGAAATTGCTCAATGGATAAAGGTACTTGCTCTCAAGCCTGAGTCCTAAATTTGATCCTCAAAACCCACATGGTAGAAGAGAACGGACTCCTGAAAGTTGTCTTGTGACCTCTGTGGCACACATACCCTTCCCATAAATGTTTAAAAAAAAAAAGTTGAATGAGGTAATAGGTCACTCAGACTGGCAGGAGTTGGAGGGAAGCTGGCAACTTTGTAAGCCTCCATTGAGCACATTTATTTGATAGATGTCTGTCAAAACCATATCCTTTTCAGAATAACACTACAGTGCTGCAGTCCTCTGAGATAGGCTTGTACACAGAACTGACCCCTCCTGCCCACAGACATTTATATCTCAACTGAATTTGTGCATCTTTCTCCTGCTAGTTCTGTATCATCTTTGGGGGAGATAAAAAAGCAACCAACCACGCGAGGAGTTTTCTACATTTAGATGAAGTACAAGAAGAGATGGAAATGAAAGATTTGAGATAGCAAAGAGTTAGACATGTTTCCTTCTACTATTCATTACACAGTGAAGCAAAACGGCTTTTGGTGTTGGAAGGCTGCAAGAGCAGCAGCCCCTGCCTTCTGGTGGACCTAGATCTTCAGGGAGACAGATCTGTTTGTTGATCATCCCACTGTTAGAATACCAATTGTCTTTTTATAGGGTATTTGTATTCCAGAACATGGTATCTAGTCTGAAGATGTCTTTCCTGGTAGAACACTGAGCTTTGAGAAATCCCTTATGTGGAATAGGTGTTACAGATGGAATAGCGTTTGAAACTTTAGTGGTGGTG